CAGATTTGAAGCCGAAATCTATGAAAAAAGACACTCAGAAAAATTGAAAAATTGATAAATCACCACAAATTGCTTAACACGATTTTATCTCAGGGAGTATAAGTGCAAATAAGCTGAAATTTTCAGGGATTGTAGCCCCCCCGGGCTCTTGATTTAAAAAAACTCCGGCCCTTCGGGCTCGCAATATATGGAAATCGCAGCCCTACAGGCTCGCAATTTAAAGAAACAAGAAAATAAGAATTCTTTATCAGTAAATGTTGTTCTCAGGCCATAAATTATAGATTCGAAGGGTAGACAATAGACATCCCTACTCCAAAACCTAAAAGTTTCAGTAAACAACTTGAATTTGTAAGTTATGAGACCAAGAAATTCTTGTAAAAGATATATTTGTGTGTTCCCCAAGAAAGTTTGGGTGGTCAGGGCCGTACTAAGCAGTACCAGTACTATTTATTATTATAATGTTTTCACTGAAATTATTGCAAGTTGGAGTTTGATTGGAATCTTGGTCACCAAAATCACAAACCAGTCAAGGGCCTCTTAATTTTCTCACTGTTTTCAACCAATAGAAAGTTTGTGATTTTTGTAAGAACAGATTGTTTAGGCTTTCGTGACTGATTTTCACTAGAAAGGAAGTTGGTACCAGTATTATACTAATACACATAAAGTCTTAATAAAAGTGTCTTACCTACATCTGAACGTCTGAAGACAAAAAAAAAAGATGTCCATAGGGGGTTTATAAATTTGTGTCAAAAATCTTTCAAAGTCCAAGATTTAAACTCCTTGAAATCTTCAAAGTCTTTAGTATTCAACGTATTGTTTCTAATAAGATAGTCCTTTTATAATTATCAAGAGTTTTCCCTAAATTCTTTGAAAACTTTAGAGACTTTGAGAATCTTCAAAGTTCCAGTTTTTAGCCACTTTAAAATCTTTAGTCTCAATGTTTATTTATAATTTTATGTTTTGTGTTACGTTTTAAAAGGAAGAATTCACACAATTAATGGGTTTTCAAATTTATAGGCAATTTCTTGATATTATGTGAATGTTTTTTGAGAGGAATTTGAGAAAAATTGGTAGAAAAATCATTGTTTTTCTATTACAGACTTTTGAGAAAATAAGTTTGGTGTTTTAGACAAATTGTCTACTAAATTTCAAATTCCAAGCTCAATATCTCAGAAACTCCAAAAGTTACGGCCTTATAGAGAATTTATTGCTCTTTCCAGTGATATATTATAGTTGTTATTAATTTGCTCAAAGATAATTGAAAATATAAGCAATTATTCATGAGCGTGTTTCTGACTAATTTAGACTCGCTCTATTAATTTCTGAAGTCAGAATTGAGAAAAATCCAAAAATAAAAATTTTCAATTTTTGGCACTTTTTTTTCTTCTTTGGATTTTTATTTTCAAATCTTCAAAGCCCGATATTTTGGTAACCAAAAGCGGTACCGAGACAAAATTTCCAGGGTTTGATAAGGGCTTTCAGATGGTATTTTGCTGAAATCGCTACGATTTATAGTTTTTGAGAAAATCGAGTTTGAAGTTTTGGACAAAATTTTTAATAAAGTTCAACTTTGAAGCTCGATTGCTCATGAACCCGTTGAGTTACTGGAACCAATATGGTACAGTTTTGAAGAGAATTTATTTCTCTTTCTAATGATATATAATTGTAGCTGATTTGCTCAAATTCTATTGTAGATATGAGCAATTATTCATGAGCGTATCAAGATTTCAAAAAAAATTTTTAGACAAAAATTGAGATTTCCTTTAGGATTTTTTCTCTCATTATAATTCTCAAATCTAATTGATCTAAGAGTCGTTTCTGACTAATATGAACTTGCTCTAACGATTTCTGAAGTCAGAATTGAGAAAAATTCAAAAATAAAAATTTTCAATTTTTTGCACTTTTTTCTAAGGGGTACCCCTTTGGATTTTTATTTTCAAATCTTCAAAGCTCGATATCTCGGGAACCAAAAGCGGTACCGAGACAAAATTTCCAGGGTTAGTAGCTCTTGATAAGGGCTTTCAGATGGTATTTAGTTGAAATCGCTAGCTTTTATAGTTTTTGAGAAAAACGAGTTTGAAGTTTTGGACAAAATTTTGACTAAAGTTCAACTTTGAGGTTCTATTGCTCATGAACCCGTTGAGGTATTGGAACCAATATGGTACAGTTTTGAAGAGAATTTAATACTCTTTCTAATGATATATAATTGTAGCTAATTCGCTCAAATTCTATTGTAGATATGGGCAATTATTCATGAGCGTGTAAAGATTTCAAAAAATTTCCAGAGACAAAAATTGAGATTTCCTTTAGGATTTTTTCTCTCATTATAATTCTCAAATCTAACTGATCTAAGAGTCGTTTCTGACTAATTTGAACTCGCTCTATCGATTCCTGAAGTCAGAATTGAGAAAAATTCAAAAATAAAAATTTTCAATTTTTTGCACTTTTTCCCAAGGGGTACCCCTTTGGATTTTTATTTTCAAATCTTCAAAGCTTGATATCTCGGGAACCAAAAGCGGTACCGAGACAAAATTTCCAGGGTTTGTAGCTCTTGATAAGGGCTTTCAAATGGTATTTAGTTGAAATCGCTAGCTTTTATAGTTTTTGAGAAAAACGAGTTTGAAATTTTGGACAAAATTTTGACTAAAGTTCAACTTTAAGGTTCTATTGCTCATGAACCCGTTGAGGTACTGGAACCAATATGACACAGTTTTGAAGAGAATTTAATGCTCTTTCTAATGATATATAATTGTAGCTAATTTGCTCAAATTCTATTGTAGATATGGGCAATTATTCAAATTTGAATTGAGAAAAACACAAAATTAAAAATTTTCAATTTTTTACACGATATCCTGGTAACCAAAAGCGGTATGGGGACAACATTTTTATAAAATGCAGCTCTTGATAAGGGCTTTCAGATGGTATTTTGGTTGTTGTAACTACAAAGATTTCTATGGATATTCTTGGATCTTCAGGGCTCGGACTCGGTAATGAATAACGATTTATCTCTATTGTCGTCCTTTCTCTATTGCTTTCGATAAAAGAGAAGAAGACGGCAAATGCAATAGCAAGGGGAAGAATGATCTCTATCCGTTACAGATCTATGGAGATCTTCTTGGAACTTCATAGATTTTCAGGTATATCCTTAAGTCTCCATAGAAATCATATGAATTTCCGTGTATTTCCGCTGGCTCTCCATATAACACAGGGTCTTTATTCTTGAAACAATGTGTTCCGTCTTTTTTACTTGGATTATCATTTGTATATCATTGAGAAAGATGAAACACTGGTTCTCCTAGGAACGTTACTCCCCTGAATATAAGGACCCAGATATCCATGGATTTTTACATATCTCCTTCGCATAGAACAGAAGATTTCCATAGTGGCTACAGGATGTTTTAGGATGGAAAATCCCTATTTGTGGAGATCTTCTTGTTGTAATTCCATATAGATCTCTGAGGCACTGATTAGAGAATAAGACGTCAATGTACTATTATTATTGACAAACAAACATTCTTGGATTTCCACGTAATTTCATTGAATATCCATGATTTTCCGCAGATCTCCATAAATCTATATCCACTAGGACAGAATATTTCCATAGTGACTATACTCCCTTTAGATCTCTCATTAAGAACTGATAATTCTGTTTTACCTGTTCACTATTCAGACATTCATTTACAGAAAACTCAGCTTCTTTTAGAATTATTTCTAGATGTTCCATACAGTAGAGCAGAGTAACCAGCTAAAAGGTTCAAGCAACATCTAAAACAGCTTATAGTAAAATCAAAAAGACAATGCTTATCTGGACAACTGTTCCAGATATAGAAACCAATCCTGTTTTATCTTGTAAAACACCCAATTCTGATTCAGAATCAATAATTACACATTGAACTTTGGAGAAAATTAACAAGGATTATGTCAGAGGCTATGTCAAAAGAACAATCTTTTCGCCACGAAAATTCAAAAATTGAAGCCAATCAAGAGCCAAGAATAATCAAACTTTGAATTTCTAAACCAATCAAGAGCCGGGAATTCAATTTTTGAGCCAATCAAGAATCAGGAATGATCAATAACTCAATCTTAAACCCAATCAAGAGCCGGAAAAATTCAAAAATCGACTTTGGAAGCCAAATCGAGAGCCGAAGTTTGAATTTCTAAACCAATCAAGAGCTGGAAAAATTGAAACTTTAAATGTTTAAACCAATCAGGAACCGGGAATAATCGGAAATTCAATTTTAAATCCAATTGAAAAGTTTCATCAAGGACCTATGGGACTCTGTAACAGATAGAGTAGATTGTTGCACTTGCTAATCAATAAAGAGGAGACATCAATAGAGATTCTTTATAGAGTTCCAGCTCTATTATAAGAAAATTATTAAGCCTTGTTTACACGTTCCAAATGCACTTAGATGCTATGACTTATTCAATTTAACTTGAATATGTACAGGGTATCCAAGATTTAATGGTTTTGGGGGGTTTCAGGAAAAAAATCTGACCCCTACTTGCGAGCCTCGATTTTCAAGAGAAATTAACTGGAGGTTGATTCTCAAAACAACTCATGAGAACAAAATTTCTGCCTTTGTCGCTCATATCAGATTTTGCATGGAACTGAGAAGGACAGGGCACTTGTTCTCGTAGGAACCCTCTGCTCTCTCGTTTCGAGAATCAGGCACCTTGATAAAAAAAAATAAAAAAAAAATTGGAATTTGCTTCTATCCTTTGAAGTACAAGGCTTGAGAGTTTTCTAATGGCAAACATAGGAAACCAATTCAAAACCTCTTAATCAATTTCCCATATTAAATGTTGATTTGGGAGGAATTCATATGTAGGTAAAACAATAATCCAAATGAATTCTAACAATGTTATCTTACGATAATATATCAGCTTCTATTGAAAATCAAAGTGGAAGGAACTCATTATTGAGTGATTGATAAAATTATCAGTTAATAAACTTTGATCGCCTCGCGGAATTATTTTGCCTCGAGAGATTGTTCATAATATAGCAGAAGAAGTGGCCAGTCTCCGTGTTCTACACCCAGATATCGGTTCTTTGGCCCCGTGAATAATATAGTACTTAGTGTATTTTTGTTATGGATACTTATTAAAATGTTGATTACTAATAAGGATGAAGAAGAAGGGTAATAATTTCATTATTTAATAAATATGTATATGGGCAATGACCATCAAAGCAGAACTTAATCTAATTAAAAATCAATTGGAAAAATGCAGGTATCTGACCGACATTCTTTAAGCTGCTATATGAAAGTGTGCAATTTTGTCTAAACGACAACTTTCAATACATTTTTGGTATTTTATATAGCAGAATGCACTTTTTGATCAGAAAACCTGTAATAATCTCTTGTTGAAAAGGGAAAGTTATCGGTTATTATTGATTCTTGTTTTTTAAAATATTCAGAAAAAATGTTGCAAGAGTTTTATGTAAAGTGAATCTCCCAAATCTTCAATTTCTGAATCAAAGTTTTGAAAATTTCCAAGTGTTACATTCATTGTTATATCAATTTGTTTGTCCATTTGTCTGTCATCTTGCAACCACTGTATGTTCAAATATTCCAATGTCCAACAAGTCCAAAATAACGAAGTTATTATAGGCCGCACCTTATAAACTTGCCAAGAATGCCGTTTGGCCAGGTCTCTTCCTTATTATTTTATAACAAAACTGAATATTAAATTGCCTGATACATGCAAGGCTTCCCATTTAAATTGAATTGAAATACATATAAGAAAATCATGTATGCCCCATTTAACCCTGATATGCAAATCGATATTTTATTTTTAAACCAATTAACATAAGCTTAGGGGTAGGTAAGGGTACTTAAACTAGAACAAATCGATAAACATTTTTTTGGGCTTATATTTCCATGTTTTGTTTGTAACGTAGTTACATAAGACCAACAAAGTATCGTAATTTCTTGTCGAGATAATGAAGTTTGCTTTAGGGATAAACATAACAGTGGCATGAAGGTTAAATTAGCTTGCTTTTGTATTCCCAAATCACGACAATAGATGATAGTTTGTGTATTATTGTTTGAATGGCTGAAATGGTTTTTTTAAAATGTCCTTGCAACCTACTCAGCTTGTAAGTAGTAGTTTTATATTGATTAAAGATAAGGAAGGGATTATTGGAAAATAAATGTGAAGGGATTATTGTCTAGACTAAACTAGAAATCTAGTTATTTTTGCCTCAAAACATTCATAGTTCTAGGTTCCTAGGATCTTGTAACACAACTCAAAATGACTTAGAGTAAGTTCCAATATAATCTGAACCATTTTCTCCTATAAAATTTGCTCTTTGGAATGCTTTAAAAGTTCTATGATGTGTCTAAGTAGCTTGTGAACTTATTCCAGATTTTTTTCTGTTTGTTTCAGGTGTGGCATCAGCCTAAAAATGTCGCACCACAGCGACGACAACATGCTAATAGCAACCAGTGATTCGTTTTGGGAGCCGGGAAATTATAAGAAAACTACAAAACGAATTGAAGATGGTAATAAGTTGTGTGCAGATTTGATGACTTTGGCTAATGAAAGGGCCGAAATTGAAAAGAATTATGCCAAAGCGCTCAAAGCATGGTAAGAATTTTTTCATTTTTGAATACTCTATAAGCCAGTGCAAAATTGGTTTTTGTAGCTTGTGGGGTTTCTGAGATATTGAGCTTCAAAGTGCAAAATTGCGTTACTTACGATTTCTATCAAAATGACACACTTTGTGTCATAACTTTATTAATTTTGATCCGATCTTGATGTAATTAGGCTTAAATTGAAGCCAATCAAATTCTCTACAAACTTCCTCTAGATGATTTCAATGTAGCTTCAATAGTTTCGCAGCTGCGAAATTGTGTGACTTAGATTTCTATCAAAATCAGACAATTTGTGTCATAACTTTGTTAATTTTGATCCGATCTTGATGTTATTAGGCTTAAATTGAAGCCAATCAAATTCTCTACAAATCCTGTGAATAATTTTAATGTAGCTTCAATAGTTTCGCAGCTGCGAAATTGTGTGACTTAGATTTCTATCCAAATGACACATTTTGTGTCATAACTTTGTTAATTTTGATCCGATCTTGATGTTATTAGGCTTAAATTGAAGCCAATCAAATTCTCTACAAAGCTTCTGTGGATGATTTTAATGTAGCTTCAATAGTTTCGTAGCTGCAAAATTGTGTGACTTGGATTTCTATCAAAAAGACACATTTTGTGTCATAAGTTTGCTAATTTTGATCCGATCTTGATGTTATTAGGCTTAAATTGAAGCCAATCAAATTCTCTACACAGCTTCTGTGGATGATTTCAATGTAGCTTCAATAGTTTCGCAGCTGCGAAATTGTGTGACTTAGATTTCTATCCAAATGACACATTTTGTGTCATAACTTTGTTAATTTTGATCCGATCTTGATGTTATTAGGCTTAAATTGAAGCCAATCAAATTCTCTACAAAGCTTCTGTGGATGATTTTAATGTAGCTTCAATAGTTTCGTAGCTGCAAAATTGTGTGACTTGGATTTCTATCAAAAAGACACATTTTGTGTTATAAGTTTGCTAATTTTGATCCGATCTTGATGTTATTAGGCTTAAATTGAAGCCAATCAAATTCTCTATAAAGCTTCTGTGGATGATTTCAATGTAGCTTCAATAGTTTCGCAGCTGCGAAATTGTGTGACTTAGATTTCTATCCAAATGACACATTTTGTGTCATAACTTTGTTAATTTTGATCCGATCTTGATGTTATTAGGCTTAAATTGAAGCCAATCAAATTCTCTACAAATCTCCTGTGGATGATTTCAATTTAGCTTCAATAGTTTCGCAGCTGCGAAATTGTGTGACTTAGATTTCTATCAAAATCAGACAATTTGTGTCATAACTTTGTTAATTTTGATCCGATCTTGATGTTATTAGGCTTAAATTGAAGCCAATCAAATTCTCTACAAACTTCCTCTGGATGATTTCAATGTAGCTTCAATAGTTTCGCAGCTGCGAAATTGTGTGACTTAGATTTCTATCCAAATGACACATTTTGTGTCATAACTTTGTTAATTTTGATCTGATCTTGATGTTATTAGGCTTAAATTGAAGCCAATCAAATTCTCTACAAATCCTGTGAATGATTTTAATGTAGCTTCAATAGTTTCGCAGCTGCGAAATTGTGTGACTTAGATTTCTATCAAAATCAGACAATTTGTGTCATAACTTTGTTAATTTTGATCCGATCTTGATGTTATTAGGCTTAAATTGAAGCCAATCAAATTCTCTACACAGCTTCTGTGGATGATTTCAATGTAGCTTCAATAGTTTCGCAGCTGCGAAATTGTGTGACTTAGATTTCTATCCAAATGACACATTTTGTGTCATAACTTTGTTAATTTTGATCTGATCTTGATGTTATTAGGCTTAAATTGAAGCCAATCACATTCTCTACAAATCCTGTGAATGATTTTAATGTAGCTTCAATAGTTTCGTAGCTGCAAAATTGTGTGACTTAGATTTCTATCAAAATCAGACAATTTGTTTCATAACTTTGTTAATTTTGATCCGATCTTGATGTTATTAGGCTTAAATTGAAGCCAATCAAATTCTCTACAAATCCTGTGAATAATTTTAATGTAGCTTCAATAGTTTCGTAGCTGCAAAATTGTGTGACTTGGATTTCTATCAAAATGACACATTTTGTGTCATAAAGTTTGTTAATTTTGATCCGATCTTGATGTAATTAGGCGTAAATTGAAGCCAATCAAATTCTCTATAAAGCTTCTGTGGATGATTTCAATGTAGCTTAAATAGTTTTGCAGCTGCACAGCGATTTTTATCCAAAATGACACATTTTGCCTCTCAACTTTGTTAGTTTTGATCCGATTTCAATTTAATTAGCCAATTAAATTCTCTACAAATCTCATGTGCATGATTTCAATTTTTTTTCAATTTCAAATTTTTTGAAATCTTGACAAGCTCACGAATAATTACCCATGTCTTCCATGATTTTCAAGAAAATTGCTTACAATTAGACATCATTGGAAAGAGCATTAAATTCTCTATAAGCCCGTGCAAAACTGCTTTTTGTATCTCTTGGAACTTTCAAGATATTGAGCCACAAAGTTGAAATTTAGTTCAAAACTTTAAACTTGATTTTCTCAAAAACTATAAATGGTAGAGATTTCAGCTAAATACCATCTGAAATTATATTGTCCGCTCTTGATATTGAGATTTGAAGATTTGCATATTTTCCCTATTCCAAGCTCTTAAATTCTCTATTCTCAGAGAAACTTGAGGGAAACAGAAATTCAAGAGCCTGGAATAAACACCAATTTATACAGAAACAATGAGAGAAAAAAATTTAGTAAAAATATTGAAGAAAATTTGAGAAGAAATTCTCTATCCAGGGAAGAAGAAATTATTTATCCAGGGCCCGGATCCCGAACCCACGATTCGATAGTATCGTCTATGTGATTTATATGGATGATAACTATCGAATTGTGGGTTCGGGATCCGGTTCCACGCTTCTGAATTCTCCCCTCAATTCTCTCTATTTAGAACTATATAGAGAAAATAATAATTCAAGAGAAAAAATAATTTTGCGACATTTCTAGAAATTTCCCATTGAATCTCACTATGTTGACTTTAAAAATTCTGAAAACCCCAAAAAAAGAGAGAAAACGTTCAATAGAAATTGAGTCACTATTTCAGGCTCTTGAATTTTCTATTTTTAGTAAAATTTGAAGAAAACAGGAATTCAAGAGCCGGGAATGAACACAAATTTAGACGGGGGAAAAATGAGAGAAAACTTTCAATAGAAATTAGGAAATTGAAAGAGGAAATTGAGAAGAAATTGGTTGACAACTAGGAATTCAAGAGCTGGGAAAAAGACACATATTCAGACGGGAAAATGAAAGAAAACGTTTAATAGAAATTGAAAAGAAATTGGTTAACGACTAGAGATTTGAATGTTTTCTTTATTCCAGGTTTTTGAATCCTTTATTTTTAGAAAAATTCAAAGAAAACAGAGATTCAATAACCGGGAATAAACACAAATTTGAATGAAAAAAAATGAGAAAACATCAATTGAAATTGAGGGAGAATTTGAGAAGAAATTCTCTATCCAGGCTTCTGAATTCTCCTTATTTAGAACAATATGAGAAAAATAGAAACTCAAGAGAAAAATGATTTTGCGACATTTTCCTTTAAATCTAAAAAGAAATATGAATAGTCTTTGATCCAATTTGCCCCCTTACTATGTCGACTTTTAAAGATTCTGAAAACTCAAAGACTTCAAAGAATTTGTCAATGTAAGCTTTATCAAGATTTTGGAATGATTCAATAAAATCCTTTTTTATTTGAATAATTGTCAGGACAGGAAACTACAAGCTAAAATGAAAGACTTATTTTCCAAGATTGTTCAAAACAATCCCTATAAGGACCAAGTAGGTTTATTTGGTATTCAATGATGTTGTGATATGGAGAAATTTTTAATTCAAAAATTATTTATTTATGAAATAGTTGCCTTTGTATATGGTTTACAAAATTAGGTATACAGTATGACTTATGTGTCAGTTCAGTAGCAAAATGGGTCTGTAGTTTTCTGGTTTACTTTGGTCCTTGCTTTGCTTGGTGAGCATGATAGTTTTGGCTTCCTTCCAATCATTGTTCATCACCAAAAATGGCAGTCGATTGATTTTCCCTTTGATTTGCCTTAAAATTAAGTTTTCTTGATTAACTTATTTGACATCCAATGTTCAAAATTCCCAGCGCTTGAGGTTTTTTCAATTTCAAGGATTCAATTTTTTCAATTTTCCTGGTTTTTGATTGGTTTTAAAATTCAATTTTTGTAAATTCCTGGTTTTTGATTTGTTTCAAAATTCAGTTCTCATATAAATATTTCAGGCTCCTGATTGGCTTGAATTTTTTTTTTTTTTGGATTCTTGTGAATTTTAACTTTAGAAATGGATAGAGCGAGTCTGAATTAGTCAGAAACAACTCTAACATCAGTTACTTTTAGAAATTTCAATGAGAAAAAAAATCCAAAAGGATATCTCATTTTTGGCTCAGGAAATTTTTTGAAATCTTGACAGGTTCATGAATAATTGCCCATATCTTCCATGACTTTTGAGAAAATTGCTTATAATTATACATCATTGGAAAGAGTATTAAATTCTCTATAAAGCAGTGCAAAATTGAGTTTTGTAACTTCTGAAGTTTTCAAGATATCGAGGTTCAAAGTTGAAATTTAGTCTAGATTTTGTCCAAAACTTTTAAGCTCAATTTTCTCAAAAACTATAAGTGCTAGCGATTTCAGCTAAGTATCATCTGAAAGCCCTTATCAAGAGCTACAATTGCTGAAAATTTTAACCCAGTTGCTCTTCTGGTTATCAAGATATCGAGGTTTGAAGATTTGGAAATAAAAATCCAAAGGGGTTACCCTTAGAAAAAAGTGCAAAAAATTGAAAATTTTTATTTTTCGATTTTTCTCAATTCTGACTTCAGAAATCGATAGAGCGGACTCAAATTAGTCAGAAACAACTCTAACATCAGTTACATTTCACTATTTCTATGAGTTAAAAAATCCAAAAGAAAATCCCATT